CGGTCCCCCCCCCCCCATTAATACCTGCTAGTTCTGACTCTACTAATAAATGATGGATAAATAACCTTGCGTTTTGATTTAGTGTTCTTATAGGAAATCATTCAATTTAAAAAATAACTCCTTTAGTTGAACACAAAGGCTCCACCAGATTCCGGGATAGAAAGAAATTTGGTGAACTTGTCAGTAATCAATCTCTGGCTAGACGCGCTAATGAATTGACAGAGGTTACGGTTCTGCGTGATTGCTCATATGTATAGATATAAGTATTTCTTCTGCTCTTTGAGAAAAATGTTCAAAAATTTTGATTTCCATAAATGCTATCCGACTTCTCTCGCTGCAGGACCTTTTAACCTTTGAGACGCATATGGAAATCATTAAGTCTGTTTGACCTAATTATCACATTCGGTCACATTAACAGGGCCGAACCAGCTAACTTGTAGAGGCGCTCGCAATAACTCATCAGTCGGCTGACCATAATTGTGGCCTTTAAACTGGTTTAAATAAGATGACTCCCATTTCGTCATGCCGATCGCTTCCATAAGTTCGCCAAGTATAACCTATCCCCCCTACCCCCATTTCCATCCCTACATTCAACCACTGAACCCTCTATTGCCCCCCCCCTAGAGTTCTGTTGCAATCCATTCCAAATTAATCTATTTATAAATTTCAAGGATAAGTTAATTCGACAAAACCGTCTCAAAAGGTGAAGGGGGGGGCTAGTTACTGAATGGGAAGAAAAAAGCAAATTGAGGGAATGTGCCTCTCAATACCTAAAACAAGATTTCAACTTTGTGTCAGTTAACATTAGGTTTCCTTTATCATTGAGATTTTGAGGATTAATCTCCCAATTTCATTAGCATCATCTTAATCAAGCACTTCAAATTCGTAAAACTACAAAAAAAGTAACCGACTTTGGAAGATTCCCGCCCTGGGTTTAGGGACATAAAGACGTTAGCTGACGCAAGGTGGCGGATTTTTTCCTGAAATTATTGCAATTGCAGCTATGTTTTAATTAGTCCATTTAATAAAAACACAAAAATAAGTTATCTTCGCGGTAAAAATAAAATTTGGGCATGAATGTACGCTAATGCATGCATTAAAATTATCAAACGCAGCGAATTTCTTTCTTAAAAGGTCAAAATTACTCTTGATCTCAAATAGCTATTTACATCTACTCGGTCTTCTACTCCTTCCGGGTATTCTTGAAATTCATTTCAAATGGAATTTGATTTGCATGAAAATAGGGAGATAAGCATTGAATACACGAAAGTAGATTTTGATGTTATTTAGCCTCATAGAGACAAGCAAATTTTAATTTAATTGATAAATGCTGTAAGCTTGCACACGAAATTCCTCATGTTTAAAGAACGAATGGTCGCACCAATCCCGCATTAATATTTGCGGCGCACTTTGCCAGCATACTACAAAATAAATAATGGTATTTTAGATGTATCCTAATTTTGCACCAATAGATACGAATTTCACAAGATAGATTTTGTAGGTTTTTGCGTCGATCCGATACTATGCTTAAAAATACAAATTTCCCACCATCGTTACTCCCAAAAAAAGTAGTTTGTGAGTTTCTTTGTCGTCAGATAACTTGAACATTCACCTGTCCATTCACGAATAACTTCTGAAAAATGATTAATCGTTGTTTATTGCTGTTACAAATTTGAATTTGAACCTTCAGTATGGGTTTTATTTTAAAGCATTGTGACATTTTTCGTTTGACGCATTTTATTGGCTGTTATGCACACCAGATCATGACTACAATACGCCAGTTAGGATGGGAAAATATTTAACAGCATTCATATGAATAGAGAAAAATTGTAATAAACTTACTTTCTAACGCCCATTTTGATAACCTCTCTTTATCCAAGCGATTAGTCTTTTCCACATTGACAAACATTACGTGATATTCAGTCTTCTGTTCTCTCTGTTAGTAGAGGAATAAATTGATTATTTCATGTACACTGGTGTCCATTTTAAAAATCCACTAATGGGTGTCAATAAACAATTTTATAAATTCCATTTTTGTGCTTTGGAATACAAAATATGTCAAAAATACCTCTCGAAACATTCTCTCTCTCTCTCTCTCTCTCTCTCTCTCTATATATATATATATATATATATATATATATTACTGTATTAACCAATCAAAAAATCCCCGCCACAGTAGGAAGAGGCAGGAACATCAGTAAGTGGGTTGGATGAATATTGATTCAAAAAAGGCAAAAAAGAAAGCAAATGAGGGTAAAGAATAAGATTTTTGGGAGAAACAGTGAATGACAGCGAATAAAATGTAGAATGCTTAAAAGAAGGCATACTAAATTTTGGCTATTGATGAAATCAAGGCAATTCTATAAGCCTAAATTCGATAAAAATGGAAAACCAGGTAGTTGATAAATAGTTATAATAATGAATCGCAGTAAAAGACTATCAAAGAGACTCCAGAAATGTGTGAATTAATTAATTACCGAGTCCTATTTATTTTCAACTTGATCACATAAATCGTTAAATTGGAAGAGGTATTGTGCGTATAAAATGATAGTTCGTGAAGATGATCGATAAGAAATTGTTTGAGGAAATTAAACAGCTTGATTTCATTTGGAAAATCGGAACCTTAGTATTAAATTAAATCAACGTTAGCTTGAGTTGTTCAAATCCTATTCCACCTATTCTTGATAGCATAAAAGGAGGCCTCAGAAGCAATTAAAATGAAATTAATTTAGCGACCAATAGATTAATAGTTGCTAATTATTTATGCAAAGTGGTAACATGGTTTAGGGAATCAGAAACAATATCGTAATTAAATCTCAATACCAATCAACAAACACATTACGGTAACACATATGTTACTAAATGACGTAATTTGTGGGAATATCATACGGCAATAAAAAGGAACTTTAGCTTAGATTTGAATTATTATGCTAATGATTGATCTAGGTAGATGACTGTGCTCAATCAATAAGTCAGACCGCTTAGATTTCCCTCTGTTGATAATTTCATAGATTCGCCTTAAAGTAGATAAAATTTGTAAAATATAAACTGGCATCAGATTATCATTTGTCGAGTTATATTGGTAACAAAAAAGAGGCTTAATTAAAATTATAGAAAAAATAGTTGAAAATAAACACCAGGTGGAATTAATAAAAAATGCGTAGTCACTCAAGACGCGAGATTGGTGAGGTTAGGGATTTGAATGGTAACTACTTTGGACAAAATGGATTAATATTTTACCCAAGAAAAAAATTTCGAAAAAATCTAGCAGCTATGAATTCATATATTTAATTAAAGATCTGCTCATATAGAAACGAAATTGAGAAATAAAAATATTTGATTTGAAAATCCTCACTATAACAAGCCTTAAAAACTAAGTGGAGGTTGTACCATTTCCTTTTTATCAACAAACCACTAAACACATTCATGCCAGCCTTTTGTATAAGGAACACGTTTGGATGGCATTAGTTATTACATCTTACCTTTCTATGGAAGGAATTCGATGAAGCAGTTTTATAACTAACGTTAATGAATTAGGACAACTATTTAAATGATTAAATCGCAATTAGTGAACTATTATACACATTTATTTCTGTCAAGTTTATACAAAAAATAAGTTTTGAAAAGTTTTTAAATATGTTTTAATTAACCACTGGCAATGGACTCAGAAACAGAGGAAAATCGAATTTTGGGATAAAACAGTAAAGATGGCTGGAAATATAGGCATGGAGCGCCTTATTCCCTTAGTTAATAAGCTTCAAGATGCGTTTTCATCTCTTGGGGTACCTTTAAATTTGGATTTACCACAAATTGCTGTCGTTGGTAGTCAAAGTGCGGGCAAAAGTAGTGTTCTGGAAAATTTTGTTGGAAGGTAGCTATATTTTTCATTGGTATATTTTTGCAGGGATTTTTTACCTCGAGGAAGTGGTATCGTGACAAGACGACCGTTAGTTCTTCAACTGATTACTTCTGATTCAGGTTTAATAGCTTTCAATGTTTCTTAAACAAATTGCTTTATGATAGAATATGCGGAATTCCTTCACATGAAAGGTGCTAAACTTACGGATTTTGAGGAAGTGAGAAAGGAAATTGAAGCTGAAACGGAAAGAGAGACTGGAAGTAATAAAGGTATTTCGAATAAGCCGATTAATCTGAAGGTGTATTCTCCTAATGGTATGTGGCTTGCTCTGTGACTTAATTTATGCACATCTTTTTGTTTGTGTTTTCTGATTTATCTGCTATATTTATTAGTTCTAAATCTTACTCTGATTGATCTTCCTGGAATGACAAAAGTGCCAGTGGGTGATCAACCATCAAACATATCCTCCTTGATAGAGGAAATGATTCTTCAGTTCATCACCAATGACTACTGTCTTATTTTGGCCGTTTCGCCAGCCAATTCAGATTTGGCTAATTCGGATGCTCTTAAAATTGCCAGGGAGGTTGACCCTCAGGGTCTTCGCACAATTGGCGTCATCACAAAGTTAGATCTCATGGATTCCGGAACCGATGCGCGAGATGTGTTGGAAAATAAACTCTTCCCTCTCCGAAGGGGTTATATCGGTGTTGTGAATCGAAGTCAAAAGGACATTGATGGTAGAAAAGATATTAATACGGCTATCGCTGCGGAGAGGAAATTTTTTTTGGGACACCCGGCCTATCGGCACATGGCCGATCGTATGGGCACACCGTACCTCCAGCGTGTCCTCAACCAACAGCTAACTAATCACATCCGTGAAACTTTACCCGGTTTGAGAAATAAACTTCAATCACAGATGTTGGCCATGGAAAAGGAGGTAAGGGAGTATAAGGCATATCAGCCCGCTGACCCCTCGTTCAAAACCAAGGCCCTTATGATGTGAGTCTCTCAAGTGTTTACTCGAACTCTTTAATCTGCCTAAAAATCGACCAAACGTTCTTAGGTGCGGTTGTAGGCTTATCTAGAATATTAATCTTTATTATAGTTTTTCCTTCAAATTTGATGGTATTCAAACAATGAGTTTCTTGATTTTTAATATCTCCTAATTTGTATTTTTAACTACTGTTTGAATAATATCGTTGTGGCTGATGCTTATATTTTCTGTTTATAATACTTCAAGGTGGGAGAAGAGAAGGCCAAGAATGAAACTAACTAGTGGACATGATTTGATCTAAAATTGAAGAATCATAACTTACTCCTCTCAGAATTATATTATTATCTTTGCTTATAGTGGTTAGGTTCTTCATAAATCATTGGCTTGAAATCAAGTAAAATATATGTTTGACAGCATTAAATCACTGAAACCAGGAAGCATTTCACTACTGGATCATGGAGTGTTTCATTTTTCCATATTTCATTCTAGGCGTGGAAAGACAACACTCCTGCTATAGCCCATCTGTTGTATATTTTTCTTACACAAATAAATGGTCTTGAGTTTGAAGTTCATTTTCCTTACATTCCCATCGTGTGATGAACCTCTTCCTCGAAAGCATCGTTATTTTGACTTCCTTTAATTCTAAAACATTTGTATGTACCTTAAATCCTTATTCCTAAATAAGGACATCAACTTCAGGAAGTCTTTTTTGGCTTCTGGCAAGCACCAATAGGCTTCAAATCCATATATTACGCGTTTCGCCCTTTTTACAAATATCACAGTATGTCCAATTTCTATTTAGTTGATCAATCTATACATTTATTCAAGCGTATGACAATTATGGGTTATTTCAGTTCTATAGTATTCTGGCCATTATGATTATTACTCAAATGGGAAAATTTGGGAATAGAAATAAATATTTAAAACTCGGAAGGGTTTGAAGATACTCCTATGAAATAGGGGGAATTGGGATTTAAAAAATCAGGAACGTGTTTAATACTAAGAATATGTCTATTTAGAGTATGACTCGAATAAAAATACATTTATAAGCCGCATGATTCCCTTGAATTCCACTGAATTCTATGTCTCAATTTCGATGGAATTTGTCTTAACTATAACATATCTAAAGAGCTTGACGTAGTCAAATTAACTGCATTTTTGATGTCGAAAGACCACATAATAGATTTTTATACTCTCCCATATCTCCACTGTCTCCTACTAAATGCATTCAATTTCAGCCACAGGATCTGTAACTAGGCTCCAAATGCCAATTGAGGTTTGTCATTTTGGCACTGAAACACTGTGTCCAAAATAATGGTCTTCTGCATGTGTTTGTGACATTAAATCTCCTGCTTTCTTTCGTATTTAGCACTTAGGCTTCTGTCCTATAAAGCAATATGTTTTTGGTTTTCATTGTTGGACAAGTAATTTCATTTACCGCAAATTAATGTGAACAAGTAGGGCAATTTGATACCCTGGACACCAAAACTGAATGTTGCTTTAGAATTAGGTACAATATTAAACATCTTGGACGGACTGGCGCACCCACTGTTTATTTTAGGAGTTTTCACATAACAGAAGTTTGGTCGGTCATTTATTTCAACATTTTATTTCATCAGTCCGAGGTATTGGAATTGAGGCTGATTCGACGCGATATCTTTGCTGTTTTTGTTCTAAATTTTGAAAATGAGGCCGGTCTGTGGTTTCTTATCTTGTCAATGTGGTCCTTAATGAGATGTAATTCCAGGTTAACTTTTTTTATCTGGTATTCTGCATTTTTGCCGAAGAAATACTCATGTGAAAAAGAGGAGGAGGTGGGGGGGGGATTCAGTAAGGTCACACAAGCGGGTCAAATAAAGGTCGTAGCAGACGCGTATGATCTATCACACGTATAACCCATAACGAGTTACTGATGTCCAAAACATCATATACAAGCTGCTTGCTTCTTGGTGGCCAAATTTTACCTTGTTATTGCTATTAAATTATGCATTGATCCAAAATGGAAATCGAACTTGAGAAAACGAATAACTTATTCAAATAAGGTTTTCTCATTGCCTTCTTCACGGATCGATTTGCCCCAAATATCCTAACCTCTTAATGTATTGTTTTTTACATTAACGTTCATTGTACTTAGAGCATTTATTTGAAGAGCATATGCATTTTACCATGTTTTACATCTTCGAATAGGCGCATTTGTCTGTAAAAGTTCTATTCATTTAAAATTTTCTGATTTTAAGGCAATTTATGAAAGTAAATGCAAATACTTCAGAAATAGGAGGAATGGTTGCATGTTGAGTGCCTCTTTTACAAGCCTATTTTCTTCGACAGATTCTTAGGTCTCGTCGTTGTTTTTTACTAATCAGAGTATCACCCTCTTACTGGAAGAACAAAATCTAGGAGACTCCATAAGACGTCAATAATCAATAGCTTAATTAATGTACCTTTGAATTTGATGACATTGATTAACTTTGTTTTTTTTCTTCAGAGCCGTGAAGGGCTTCGAAGTTGAGTTCACTCAGACAATTGATGGTTCTGGATCAGAAATCGATACTAAGACGCTGTCCAGAGGGGCTCGTATCAATCGCATTTTCACGGAACGTCTGCCCTATGCACTGGCCATGGTGAGTTATTTTAATACTTTTTTTCCCTAATCCACTTAATTGTCTTCTGGGATTAATTAATAATATTAGTGGCCTTAGTTGTCTTACAATACATGATATGTTTCTCAAGGGTATAGTGTTTATCCTTCGACTACAATGTTCCTTTTTGTAAATCTCACTAGAGAAGTCATCTCAGAGACTAGTAGAGTGCTCTCATCTGAATTAGCTATTTAGCACTCTCTATCTAGCTATTAAGGTTATCTTTATTCAGAGTAAACAATTCACATTGTTTTCAAATGCCCATCTTATGTAAAGGGATTACATTATAGGGCCTCCTTATTGAAGAATTCGGAGTTCGGCATTTCTTTATCAGCCAGACTTAGCTCTATTCACTGAGTGTGCACTGGGGACCATTAATCACACGACTTTTCCATTGATAGAATGACACGGACCCGATTCGTAGGTGTAGAATTTGAACTATTTACTAATCTGAATGGAATGAAGATCTCAAACAAAAATCGGATTTATTGAGCATTTTCTAGTCTCAATGGGGAATCATTCTTCAATGCTCTTTTGAAGCCTTTTTGAATGAGATACTCTTGATCTACCTTAATTAGCACGATTGGTCTTACTAGGTCTTGCAATTCCTAGCATTGGGTCAGTAGACATTCTACTTTCCGCTCCTCTATTGCTTCGTGTTTATCGCTAAATTCAGCTAATCTGAAGATGTATTGCTTATTGATTGTATACAATAGGAACTTTCCATAGTATAATTCCTCTTTACCTTAAATCTTTGAAGCTCCACAATGACACGGAGGAACTACGAAGGGACATTAGCTTCGCCATTCGTAACATTCACGGCATTCGGTGAGTCCACATTTAAATACTAATAACCTCCACAACTAGTAAAAACTAGTAACTTAAGTGTTAATCACATGCTCTTAAATGCATTAACTTCCAGAACTACCGTAGCTTGAAATATAGAAATGTTCACGCCTAATACGGTGAACGTAAAGCCACGGTTGAAAATTTTTCAACGGAGTAAATGAAAGGCGATTTGAGAGTTTTCACTGTAACTCTCAAACTCATTTAGGTGAGCGCCTATCATTAGTTATCTTAAATGGATAAATTTCATCATGGAAATGCGAATTCCTCCAACCCCATTCGCTAACCACCCTTTCCGTTCATTGGGCATGCTTCGATGGAAATCGAACCCGTGACCTCTAATTTCATAGGAGAGCGTGATAAACCCTGTGCCGACGATCTTAAGCTTGATTGAAGTTAATTATTTTGACCGATCATTTTATCAAGCAAACTTATGACACCTAAATCTCTCCCTAATGAGGTGCTTGCCTTTCTCCTCTCCTTCGTTTCGTCCTCTATTTTTTGGTTCAAACGCGTGTTTTTGGCCAAAGTAATAGAGTCGAATTATGGTACTTGTCAATATTCTCAAAAAATATTGTCCTTATTTCAACATGTTTTAGTATTGTTGTTGGCTAAATTCTGTCTTTTCCTCTGTGTGCAGTTCCGGTCTCTTCACGCCTGACCTTGCCTTCGAGACGATTGTTCGTAAACAAATTGAACGCATGAAGGACCCTTCGCTAACTTGTGTTGACCTAGTAGTTGAGGAATTAATTCAAATTGTTCACGACTGCGCAACGAAGGTTAGTCTGCTTATTTTTCTTTAATAAAGCACTCATTTTACCATTTTAATGGTTATAAAGTAGTTAATCAGAAGGGTAATTAAGCCCAATTACCAACTCTTTGCTGAAGTTGTTTCTTAGTACTCATACTCAAAATTTAACAGTTTTCATACCTTGACGTTACTTCTGGTGTTGTGTATACAATAATAATTCTTCAGGTGTTCAACATGCAATGGTTTGACGCTGAACTGAAGTGGCAATAAAGAAAGCTTCTCATGTCCTTTCATAATGACTAGAACGTCTATTCCTAATCGGTCCTTTAATATTTCCTTCCTAGGGAAAGTGATAAACTTTTCATTGATTTATTTTTTGAATTTGAACTTTTCGCGTATTCGCAGACATCTAAACGACGTGTCCGGTTTTGAAGGTGACCTACTTATCACCCCAGCCCTTTGGTGACTCATAGACCACGTAAAGTTATCGACTAAGGCGATTCTCTCCCTCTTCTCTTTTAACGGGTTTACTTTTGTTTATTATTTGTAAATATTAAGATAGGTGAGAGAATATGAGGAAAATCGCAATCCCTTATTCCTCTGAAGAATGGTGTTATGGCTAGCTGAGATAAATATCGAACAGTCTTCAAAAGGACAAGATTGAAATTTGAAAATCTCTGTTCTGAAAAAAAGTGCTTAGCTCGGACTTTAATAGTGGCTTGTTTCTATTGTCTTAATTGGGTTCGATCCAAGCCTAGTTTTGATTACTGAATTTCCTTGTTTTACACTCGAATGTATATTGAAAATTCGCACATTTCACGAACTTGTTCTAATTCATTTGATAGCACGTTTTGTTCACCATTGTCATGATGAAGCAGTGTATTTTTTTAAAATCTGGTATCCATATGAATTTCTTTACATTACTTATTTTATTTCTATTTGTATATTCCAGTTCTAATACTTGAATAAACAGCAGAATTCTCGTTTGGTGAACAAATTTGTAAAATTAGTCCAATTAAAACATCTTTGATACACATGACGCCGTGTTATTGTTAACCACCCACACATGCCTCCATTGAACTCGCTTCTGACACCGCCTGTATTTGCAGGATAAACATATGCGTCTAATTGCCCGTTTACTTCGGCAAGCGTTAAGTCGAGAGATATCATCGCCATTCCTTTTCTCCCCCAACTTTCATTTCGATTTTGTCCGCAAGCTCAAAATATACGAACTCGTCCTCTCTCGAACTCCGTAGTTCACCCAAACTCTGTTTTAAACTAATCCACTAACTCAACCACCAATGGCCTATTTTCGCTCACTTTGAGCACGAAACTGGTAGGCTCTGCTCTATTTGGGACTAGCATACCGTGCACCTGCACACGCAATTTGCCCATCTAGCTAGCCCACAACTTGGTTTACTCTATCTCCCCCCCCCCTCCCTCCAAGGCATCAGTACCTATCGACCGCTCATAGCCCTCGAGAGGGGGGGAGAGAGAGAAGATTATGGCCTTCGTGTTTTTCATTGGAAGAGTGAATGAATTAGTCTCCGCTTGCGCATCTACACGCCTCACACACACACGACCGCACGTAAAGTGCGATGTAGAACCCATTGCCGCAGAGTTAGCATACTTCCCCTTTTGCTGGCTGTACTCACGCACTTTCTGCGTGGTTATTGAGAGACGCCGTTAAACCCTAGCTATGCTTTCTTTTTCAGCTCAACTTCTTGCAGCCCCAAATCCACAAGTTTCCCAGGGAGATTTTAATGGAATATAAGTGGATTAATTTTAACTATAAGTTCACAGTTAAGTCGTCGAATTTATTATGTTTAATGGTAGATCCTGGAGTGCTTTCCTCCGTTTGACTAGGGAATTAAGGATGATCTCCATGCATTCTCTAATTTCTAATTTATCTCAATTAAGTATCCCTATTCGATCAAATATAAATATGATCAGGTCATGTGTAATAATCATTAACTAGACGCGATAAAATGGTTGCCCTTATTTGCGTTGATGATGATGTCCTAGTTGACCACGTGAAAAATGAAGTCCATGTGGAATTGAATGATCGCTTCGTTATGTAAAATTTTTCCCCAATACCGAAAACTAAGCTCCCAATGGCAAGTATGCTGGCATTTTGGCAATTTCGGTTGAGGCGTAGCATCAAGAAACCTGCCTGGGTAGAAACCCTAATTCTGCCCCTGTCTTTAATAGCCAGACTTTGCCACTTGGACAAGTACCGGTACCTGCTTTGTCACCGGAGCACAAAGGAAGTTCCTATTTATTCATCTCATTAATTTAATCTACTTTCAAATGGCAGTTGAACAAGGCATATATCTTTTTGCAATTAGAAAAATACTATTTTTTGTTGTTGGTTCAACAAATTGTACCAATTTCTGGATAGTAGCCGTCTAAGAGTTACGGTTAGACATTAAATTGGGATCATTTGTATTTGCTCAGCCATTGAGAACGCAAGTAAATATTGTTAGATAGACTGAATTGCTGATTTGGAAAGTTATGGCCGTCATTTAAATTTTACAACCACAAGGGATATTATTAGCTGCTTCAAGTTAATCTATTTCAGTAATTTTGTGGAAGCATTTGTTCGCCAAGTCTAAGTTCCATGTCATGGTGCCTAAATGGTGAATGAGTACATTCTGCCACCTTATTTTATGCTCTTCACACTCACAAATAATTGCACCTTTCTTTACTAAGTCCATTGTCCATTCCAATGATTGATTTTAAAATATTCATTATAGAATGCGATATTACCCCATACTTGCACTAGGTAACGACCATCGCTAAATTATAGATAAAGGCCTGCTTAAAGTGTTGCTATTTTCTATTTCATTATTATTATTATTATATCAAATGGCAGGCGTTTTGATTGTTATCATTAGCCATTTAGTTGACTTCAGGCTTTACAGAGGGGAAGGAACATCAAAGTGTAAAAAATTCAAGAGGGGGGGGGAACAGAAGAGTGTATCAAAGACGAAGGTAGATAAGGTGGAAGAAAGGTGGGATGAGTACTGTGAAAGTAGTCGAATATGACATACAGTGGGGTCATGGTAGTTTGAAGTCAACTACCAGTTAATAGACTTTTTTGCCGTATGAGTATATGTTGCCCAGGATGCACCACGTGGAGGTAAGTCTATCACACCCCCCTATTTCATTATAGGGTTCAGTAAAACCATTGGAAGT